CACCCCCCCCCCCCGCAGCAACAGCAAAAACATCACACACACACACACCCGCAGCAACAGCAAAAAAAAAAAACACACCCCATCCGGCAGCAACAGCAAAAAAGCAAACACCCCCTCCGCAGCAACAACAAATAACCAGCACCCCCCCAGCAGCAACAACAAAAAAAACACCTCCCCCCCCGCAGCAAAAGCAAAAAAGCAGCAACATCAAAATCAAATAACACTCCTACCCGCAAATGCTGCAAGGGCAGCATTTGGGCGTTTCCAAGCATAAAGCGCAGGAACAGGTGAAACAAGAATACAACGACAGTGACATGCAAACCTGCCGACTGGCTGAAGATTATGACCCTCAACGGCAAGCTACAGTGAGCGTTACGAAAGTGTTGGCGGGGGCAGCATCATGGAGTTTTCAAGCATAAAATCGAGAAACACTGACTTGTATGTCTTCGTTTTTGTGTTGGAAAACTCCAAAATGCCGCCAATGGTCAACAGTTAGCGCTCAGTTTACGTTACAGTTAACGCTTCGAAAGCGCTGGCAGGGGAGTCCCTCACAGGAGGCATAGACAATGACATACAAACCGTACAAACCTGCCAGCCGTTCTAGGGGCTGTGGATGGTTGAATCTTGCACCGATTGGAAGACAAACACAGTCGTCGCACCTTGCACCCCCCTTGCCGCATTGCCAGGAAATAGCAGTTTTCTGGCCCAGTGACGGAAATCTAGAATGTTAAACACGGGGCGCGGGGTAGTTGGATGATGGTTGACATTCCGTGAGTTGTAGGTGGTGCAAGCATTCCCCCATCCACTGTAATGCCGCACTAGTACTAGCACGAATACCGGATACCACTTCTACTTATATAATACTTTTGCTTAACTATTGCTAGTACTTATACTAATACCCAGACTATTTCATGGAGGCCGCCCTCGGGCATCGCGTTATTGAATAGACTTGCCTTTGTTTTGGGGGGCACACGAATCAAAGTTCCGCATGAAAGATAGTTGCTGCTGTCGTCTTTCTGTTTGCTCTCTTGTTTCGAGCACTGTTTTCAGAGACTGGATGCGTAGCCCTGAAGCACAAAACTCTGCAGCCCCAAAGCCTGAACCCTCAAAGTTCAAATCCTAAACTACACTAATGCAGGGGGGGGGTCCTTATTATAATTGTACTATAATGGGCCACAAAACCTACTCTAATTGTTAAGGCCCCTACAATCTTTGTCCTTAAGGTTGGCGCCATTGTGACGCTGAACGAAGCCTGGGAGCTGCCCGTATCGTGTGCGAGCATGAAGGCCGGACCCCTCGGCTTATGGGAAGCACCTCATGATCCATGAAGCCGCCGTTTAGGGTTTAGGGTTTTGGTGTTTATAGGGTTTAGGAGTTGAGGGTTTTGGGGTTTATAGGGTTTAGGGTTTAGTCTTCGGCCTTTGCACTCTGGTCGGGCTTCTGTGCAGCCTTTGGCAGTGGTGGTAGAGAGGGAAGTGGGTAGAAGTAGCCTGGGAAGGAAATTGCGGAGAATGGTTCTTGATCCGACACCACCTGACCCTTCATCGGAATTCAAAGAGGGCATTTGTTGGTTCAGTGTTGATGTCTGGACTCACAATACTAAGGAGAGGACTCTAGTATTGTAAGAACGGCTGTGACCCGTGAACACCGAATAGGAGTTTGGCATGAAGCACCTGCATCTTCCGACGCCGGAGACTTGCAAGCATTTTCAAGGACTGATACGTCTGGTACGGAGCCAGGGGGTCCATTTAAGCTTGGAAGCAAGTGGTAACTTCCGCCATCACAGCTAGAACCATCAGGAGAAGGATGCAGAATGTTACAGGGGTCAATACGAATGACAAGAAATGCCAAAGCAGTACCAAGCAGATAGATTGCTGAGCATTCTGGAATGGCGCGTGGGTGCTTCCCAAGTCTTGCTTGGTGATTTAAAAAATCGATCCACCACCGGTCGACATCTGACTCAGCTATGGCAAGCAACTGACAATCGTGACCTTCGTTTTGCCAGCAGTTGAAAGTCGTCATCGTGCCGTGTTATGACTGCTAGTAGTGTTTTTGTAGTGAGTCTTTTTACACTCCTCGCGTTGTTACTCGTGTTAGGAATCGTTGCTGCTGCGACGTTTCGTTGTTACTGTTGGTGATGTTGCTGTCCATGCATTGCCACCTGCTACCATCAATACCATCGCGTCAAAGTCTTACTTTTCGTTGGTGTTTTGGATACCTCTAGATTGGTACCTATGCTGCTGCTAGCGCATGTGCTGCCATCGTGTTGTCATCATTGCTGCGGTGACTCAGCCAAACCCATAAATCCCCAAGCTCTAGAACCCAGCTGCAAGGGCCTAAAGCCCCAGGCCCCAAGCCCTAAACCCAAAACCCCAAATCCTGGATCCCAAACCCTAATGTAGGGGCCTTAATCCCTAAACCCTAAACCCTAAACCCTAAACCCCAAATCCTTGAAACCCTAAACCCAATGGTTTAAGCCGTACCGACCTCCATGGCCGGAAGCTGAGGACTTCTTTGCTCCGTGCCTGGATGACATTACCAAGGCCAGCAAGGGGTTCTTATAAGTGCTATACATCTGAACATCATACAGCTTTTAGGGTTTAGGGTTTAGGGTTTAGGGGTTTAGGGAATTGAATTGGGCATGAACGACATAGCAAAGACGATCTGGCGTGGCACCATGCTGGCCCTGGAGCGCCGGAGTCAACAATAAGACAAGAGATCGAGACCACATGGGTAGTTCTCTAAATTAGGGTCCCTTTTTAAGTCCTCAATATAGTACGGTACCCTTATAAAAAGGACCCCAAAAGCGACCCTAATTTAGAAAACTACCCACATGATGTTGGTGAGAGCACACTTTCAACAGCCTGTGCCTGTCGCAGGTTCGTTTTCGCACAGATGGTGCCCTTCCGCTCCTCTTTGCCATCACCCGTGCCCTTGTCCCTGCCCTGCCCCACTACTGTACAATTGCTGGTCAAGAAGGACGAAGGGCTTCAACCCCATACGTTATGTGTTCCATGGCTATTGTGTAGCCATGCCTGGGCTGTGGAGGGACAGACGCTTTTTGTGCTAGCCGATCCCCGCCGACCCTAAAATCTAGACGTGCTGCAGGCTGTCGACTTCATCACAGAGTGCCGGAAGCAGAGCATCGGGGTTTATGACCCTCGGCTGCACTTGGTTCGGGGCTTCAGCCTGGGCCGTGTTTCTTGATGCAGGAATCTTGGTTCGGGGTCTATGGTTCTCAAAATGCCTTGAGACAAAACCAGGTATCCGACGAAGGCATAAGACTGGTTCGCCCTTGTGCTGAGGGTTGCTTGCTTACCAACATCTCCACTGCAACACACCCACAGAGAAGCTTCCTGTGCTGTTTGCTGTGGAGCTTCCAGAGTATTCTACCATCGTTGCAAACATCCTGGATTCTGGACGGCTTTGTACTGCCTCTTGCTCTTCGGAAATCGCAGTTGGTAGAACTCGGCAAGGTCCACTGCAACGGAGGCCGGGACCGAGCCCCGAGGGTGACACACGCATTGGATGCTACAGGGGGAGAAAGCGGGACTTCTGTAAGTCTAAGAGCTGCACCAACTTGAAAACACTTCCATGAAACTCAAAGCAGACATGAACCCGTCAGGCAGGGGCCGGAGCGCTGTGTGCGTTCTTTGCTACCTGATCAAGAGACTCGCCGGCGATCAGCATATCAGATGCTAAGATACTCCGGTCGGTAGCAGCATCCATAGTGCAGCTACTGCTAGTAAACAATGCAAGGGTGAGTGAGACGTGCGCCGGTTCTCTCCGCTCGTCTTCACATAGCATTGGGTCATCTAGGGTAATCTTCAATTTAGACTGTTATCGGGACTGCTGAGGACTGGCTGGCCCGCAATGAAGGAGGGAGCGAACTCTCGAGTGTGATGGGCTGCGGAACCCAATCCAAGTCAGAAGTCACTCCCCTGTTTTTGCTGCGTGACATATACCGAAGTGCGCTCATGCCAGCTATGCAGGCCTTCCAGCACGTCAAGTCCAAGCGCAATATTGCAACTTGACGTTCATGTGATATCTCCGATTGTATACCAGGTTGCTTGTAACACTTTCCGGCCAGGTTGCTTGCGACACTTTGAGCGGAGCTGCTTGATGTTCCGGCTTAATATCACAGCTTGTACTGATTATTCCGGCTGGCTGCTCTCGAGATCCGGTTCGGATGCGAGGCCCTGAAAACCCCGAAGCACAATCCCCCGAGCATTAAATGCTGAGGCAAACATGCTGTTTCTGGGTGGTCGATTCCACAAACAGTGGCGAGCCGCGGGGATCTTAGCATTAGTCAGCACAGTGTGTCTATATCAACAATTCCGTGTTTCGGATGTCTACAAAGTGCTGTGCTTGATGCTTCAGAACAGCCTGACAGAAGACTGGTCACCAGCTCTTGAAGACCCGAGGGGCCAAAAGGCTGCAACCTGGATACCACGTTCCATTTCCCAAAGCTCCAAACTTCCAAGCACTTCGCAACAGACCCCTTGCAAGCGTAGATCTTCAAAGCCCTTCATTCCCGAGCTTTCATGCTCAAGGCCCTTCAAAGCCTATTCCGTCCTGTATGCTGGTGATTCTTCGATCATCTCTGAGGTCCTGAGCTGGCAGCGCCGAGAGCTTGGTGGCCCGAAGATGGCCCAGGGCCGCAAGGTGGCCCCCGCAGACGCGGTCAAGGAGCCCGCCTAGGGCCTCTACCCGTAGCTTACGCAGGCGAGGCTAGGTGAAAGACGGGGGCTGAGAGGTTTGGTGAGCGTCTGCGGAGCTAGAGATTGAGGTACAGACAAAGATCAGGTCAGGTGGAAGTCACCAGAGTTTGCAGAGTCAAGCGCAAGAGATGGGCTGTTCGAGAATGGCCATCAGACCTTCATCAGAACGTGCCCGGCGGTCCCCTGTCGGATGAATTCATCATGTTGCAAGTGCACACCTGACCACGCGCAGCTGTCCAATCGACACGTGCAAGGGCCAATTAGCAGAGGCATCGAACGATGCATGCGACTGCTGTGACGACAACTACAACTAGAGCAGCAACAACAACAACCACCATTGCCTATTGCCTCTATTCGGCTGCTTCTCCGATCAACTTTTCAATCCGGCTCCGCCTCAGTGGCAACACTGGGGCCGCATACTTTTCAAGAAAAAGGCGTTCGTTGCAGCTCGAACTTCAAGTTCGGATTTGGTGATTCAGGGGCTCTGCGGTGGTCGTGAGCCTGCAGAAAGTCAATACGACCATGCCGTGCAGAAGTGATGTGTTCAAGCATACCCAACCTCCTAGAACCTGTCCTTTTCTAAGATGTTACCGTATTCGGGAATGTCGAAGTTGAAGCAGCTTCGTGGAAGAAGTCATGACTCGCATTGGAGCTGCTTCCAAAGAGGACCTACAGCCTGGTACGGCTTCTTGCGCCACGGCTGGTAGGGCGACATGCATCTCTAGAAGCAAGTGTCCTTCTGAGAGTCCTCCTTATGGAGTTTCATTTTGCGATGGTGGTGCTCCTTCCCATGGTGGCACAGTTTGTTCGTTGGGACTGTGTTCGCTTGTTTGTGTTTGGTTGCTTGTTCGTTTGTCTCTGCGCATGCGTGTCTGTGCGCGTGTGCGTGCGTGCGTGCGTGCGTGTACACATATATATATATATATGTATGTATATATGTATGTGTGTGTGTGTTCTTGCCCGCTGTTGCTTGCTTGTTTGGTGCTTCAAAGCTTTTCGGAGACATTGCCAGGTTCTGACGAATGCCCATGTGGTCCAGGGAGCAGACAGGCCATTTCTGTCGATTCCTTCTGTTGCATGCTGTGCAGCAACACCAAACATCACCACGATCAACGACAGGCAAGCCTTAAGATAAGCACACATAGTCGGGTTCTGCTGGATGCTTGGAGCCAGGCTTACGACGTGACTACGAGGATGGCAGAGATATAAAACGTGTATACATAGACCAGAAGAAGATGGGAGAATCAATTCAAGCATCTTCAGCGGCCTCTTGAACCGAGCTGCAATTCTTTTTGTGGAGATCCGGAGGATTCTGGCTAGCTTCCCCGGGAGACGAGTGCAGGGCTCAGCGGTTTGGGGTTCAGGCTAAGGGTATAGGGCCTAAACCCCAACTCCCCACTAGTCCTAAACCAGTTTCTATTTGTATTGAGAAGGAAAGGCTTTCCTTGCCTCTAGGACTCTAGGTCGGTTCTGGCGCATGGAGTACATGGATACAGTACCCCAGAGTGTCTTGACATCAAAGGGGCCTTGACCCACAGCCTCTTAAAGCATATCCTTGCAACATGCTTGCAGGCCCCTTGTCTCTCATAGCAGAAGATGTGCCAGGGTCGTGGGCGAATTGGTACTGTCAGGGCGTCAAGGTATTTCCTGCCAAAGACCCTTGTGCGCATACAACTTTTTACCATTGGCCAAAAGTCCACTGCTACAGCGGTCCTCCCTAAAAAGCCATGAAGAGAGTCGCAAGGATGTTGATACGCTTGATAAGGGCTTCCCGATACTGGTCGGGGACGCAATTAATGTGACAGTCTCAGGATGCAGAAGCTAATAATAATAACAACAATAATAACAATAATATTAATAACAGTAGTATTAATAACAATAGTAATATTATTATAAGGGGTCGTTGGCGCGTCGAGCTGGAACCAGACCCAACACCCTGATCCCACCAAATGGGCGGCAGACAAGGAACAAACCCTCCAAGACAAAGCTCAAAGCGGAGACTGCATGCAAGGCCGCCATCGAATGTGAGATCCTTGAGACTGATGAGGCATGCCAAAGCTTGCAGATTGATGGACAAACGCACTTTATGAGTCTGGCTGACCTTTGTCTCTCATGCTTTCGCCTGCTGATGGTCACTGGCACCAGATGGGAGTTATGAAAGATGACCACGTGCATATGCATATGTGTACAGCTTGCAGACACAATTACGCCCATTCTGTTCTTTGTGAGGTCATCGATCTGGCAGCTTTGCGTGTGAAGGCCAAATGTCAGGGGTTAAGGCTCTGAGAGAGCTTTTACAGCATAAGCCCCAACAGCACATAAGCCGCTTTAAGTAGAAGTTCCTCCAAGCACGTTGCACACCCATGCCATGTCGACCGGGATCCAAGAAGGGCTTGATCAAAATAGTCTTCACACTCTCTGCAAGCCTCGCTAGAAGTGCGGGTGCTGGTGGTGCTGCTGCTGGTCGTCCTTTTCCTCCTCCTCCTCCTCCTCCTCGTCCTCCTCCTCCTGCTTCAGCAGCAGCAGGAGTTGGAGGAGGAGTAGGACTAGGAGTAGAAGTTGTCATAGTTAGAAGTAGTAGTGGTCGCAGGGGTAGTAGTGGTCGCAGTGGTAGTTGTGGTCGTCGTCGTCGAAGAAGAAGTAGTAGTAGTAGTCGTCGTCGTCGCCGCAGTAGTAGT